TAATTTTGACAACCACCCACATGAGGTACGTGATGAGTCTGAGGTGAGGAGGGGAGCTGAGGCTGCTACTTGTTTCTTGAGCTCTTCGGCGATGCTGGCGGGGGACACAGAGCTTGCACCTGCAGGACCGGCGGGTTTGTAGAGGGCTTCAGAAGGGCTTGGCAGGGAAGCTGACGGCGTCTAAGGCGTTTCAGAGACAGAGCCTGCGCAACTGTCCGGATGCAGCCCGCCATCAAGCTATTAAGAGTTGGCTTTCCGAGAGCGTTGAACGGCCTGCTGGGCTAATGTAGGGGCCTTAATANNGAATAGGGTTTTGTGGGTTCCTTATTGTAATAAATAGTATACTATACCCCCCCCCCCGCTCTTCCAGTTATTAAGGCGCCCCTGTAGTATCCCGGTCCTCTCGAACGGCCCGACTTCAGAGACGCCTTCGAACACTAAGCAGACAAAGTGAGGTTACCATCTGATCTTCGCTAAAGTTTCGGATTCGCGGAGGCTGTTTAGGGTACAGCGCATATTCCGCCGCCGCGCCCTAAACCCTAAACCCCAAACCCTAAACCCTAAACCCCGAACCCCAAACCCCAAGCCCTAAACCCTAAACCCCAAAACCTGCCAGCCTTTGTTTTTGATCTCGAACCTTTGCGCTGGCGGGAGCCGCTCAGGCTTTGGTGCTTGAGGCTTTGGAGCTGAGGATTCCTTTAAAAACAGAAGGGGGGGGCACCTTAGGGTTTAGGGTTTAGGGGTGCTAGAAATTTTTAGAGTTTAGGGTTTAGAGTTTTGGGGGTCCTAAAAAATTAGAGTTTAGGGTTTAGGGTTCAGGGGTCCTAAAAAATATACAGTAGAGGTTAGGGCTTAGGGTTTTGGGGCGAATTTAGGGGTCCTAAAAAACAGAAGAGTAGGGTTTGAGGCCGGGGGATAGGTTATACTTTGCCTAGCGACTGTCAAGGATACTTGCTGGTTGCTCAGGTCCTGATAGCGTAGCTCACTGTGCAACCGTGCTTGGCGGGCTGCAATGTCGAAAACTCTGCACCCCTAAACCCTAAGCCCCAAAGCCTACAGCCTCCAAGCCATACTCCAGTTAAGCTCAGATGCCCAACCATCCAACCCCAAGAAGTCCTAAATGTTCGAACCAACTGCCTGCAACAAAGATGTGGAAAAGCTGCCCTTGTTCACCTGAACTCTGCAGCGGACAAGGTACACCATGATGAAAAACTGGGGATAGCTCGGAGCTCACGAGGTTAAGGCTTCATGGGTTTAGGGTTGAGAGTTTAGGGCCTGGGGTTTAGATGGGTTTAGGGCAAGTTTAGGGTTTAGGGTTTGAGTAGCATAATGAGCTTGGCCAAGAAACGTCACCACGGCGCCAGAAGCCGCCTGCAAGCGGCGGCTTCTGGAGAGGCGGCGATTGACGGCAGCGGTCTTGAGGACCATCTCGGTTTGGATCCTCGGTGTCGGACTCAGGGGAGCAAATATTTGTTTAAGGGTCTTTTCTGTCGCTTGCCCTAAAAAAAGGCCCTTAAAAAAGGTTCAGGGGAGTCTAAGACTCAGGGTTTAGATGCTGCGCTGTCGACTTTAGATTTTAGGGTTGAGGCTCTAATGTTAGGGTGTCGAGAAACCGCAGAGCCCAATACCTGTAACACAATGGCAAGCAACAAATACAGCTCGAAGCATGTTACAGGATGCCCCTCTTACGTTTAGGAAGTTTTCGGGATGCTCCTTGCTTGACGGAGTGTGGCATCCGCGGGGGACACGCCGGTTTTACACGTAAAAGCCTCATAGTGTTCAGCACCCCACCGCAAAACACCACATCAAATTGCAACTCCGCAAATGCCCCAAGCCGCCCCTTGGGCAAGTAGAGCTCGCCATTCATGGCGACCCGTGCTGTCTCAAGCGAATCCAGTGCGTTGTCGCCAGTCCTGCACGTCCAACTGTCGAACCACTTGGGAGTTTCCGAAAATGAGGGGTACCTGATTTTGGGGTCCTTACAATAAGGATCCTACTATTTGGGACACTATATTAGGGTCCCCTATTTTCGGAAACCCCCACTTCGAGTCCGAAACCAAGGGAAAACGATGCTCGGAGGTTTCCCGGCTCTAATGTGGAGACCTCAATATTTTTAGGATAGGGTTTTGGTTTCCATTATACTATAAGTATAATAAGGAACCCCAGAATAGTATAGGTAATTATTTAGGACCCTATATTGGTTGGGAAGCCAGATTCACGCGACTTCAACATCGAACACTTGCTGCACCCCCTTGCGCTTGCTGTGTGACTCCTCTGCCAAACATCTCGACCAGCGGCAAAGTCTGAGGCCCTGACGAGTCGAGTGTCAAGAACCTGGGCCCCGTGACGCTGACCGGGTTCAAGGGCGAAACAAACACCGTCAGAATGTGCAATATAGGGGGCCTTAATAATTAGAATAGGGTTTCGGGGCCATTGTGCTATAGTTATAATAAGGAACCCCCAAAATAGTATAGGTAATTATGCTTCTATAGTAGGGCTTAAGATGGTGCGCGGCGGGGCGGCTTTGAAGATGCAGAACTGACAGCTTCCGTGGTGCCAGAACTGTCCGCCAACGTACAGTCGACCATGCAGCTTACGGACTAACGAGTCCTCACTCACACTTGTACATCAGGGAATGCGAAATCTCCAAGCCCCCAACATCCCGGACCGGCCAATTGTTTGCAGGAATGGGTGGATGTAGCGAACAGCAACTGGGTTAGCTCCACAGCGCGCTTCCGTCCCTACACGCTCCGAAAGCGTAAACCCCGAACCCAAACCCTCAAGGCCCCGACACCACCAAGTCTCACCCACAGGTCATATCCTATTCACTGAGGACTCAGGACCCTATGCTTATACAAACCCGAACCGGTTGAAGGTTGTCTCATGTCTCATCAGCTATAAAACAGGGGTTCCTAAAGGGGTTCTATTAAGGGTCTTTATAGAGGTGGGGTGATATCTGGTCGGTTATGCTGAGCCCAAATCCAAACCGCAGGAAATAAACGTATAGGAATAGGGTTTTAGGGTGTATGAAGCTATAAACATAATAAGGAACCCCCAAAATATATTATAGGTAGTTATTACCTAAGGCCCTATATTACGCTAAACCTCAAGTCCTAAGCCTCAAATTAAATCCCAAGAGCCGAAGCCACTGCACGCCCAGATTGTGAGGCTGCTAAAGCCCCAACCCAAGCCCTACTAGAAAGGCCCTGACGAAATACGTCACTCGTCTGAGTAAGATCCATCTATCTCCCTCTCCCTCTCCCTCTCCCTCTCCCTCTCCCTCTTCCTCTCCCTCTCCCGCATTATATATATATATATATATATATGTATATAGGTGCACATTTTTTTATGCACATACACATTCATACCCGTTTGACTTCAGGCAAAGGAGCACCGTGGAGGTCTGCTGCTCGCCACTGGACACAGCCGAGGCGTTGCTTCCTCCAACGCCGTACAAATCCTGAAGAGGGTGGCTTAGGTTAGGGTTTAGGGTTTAGGGTTTAGGGTTTAGGGTTTAAGGTTTAGGGTAAAGGTTTAGTTCCTCCTGGAAGAGTTCAGGGTTCCTTTCCCCTAAACCCTAAACCCTTTCATGAGTTTAGGGTTTAGGCTTTGGGAGATTTGGGTCGGTGGGCCTCCGAAGCACTAAATCTTTAGGTCCATCTGTGCCGTATAACGTATCTTACCTAAATCCTAAACTACGTAATATGTGTATACATGTGTGTAGATATGTATATATATATATACAAATTTTTGTTCATGTGTTTTTAATTCACTGTAGTCTTGCATGAGATTGCATACGCTCTGGACTCTGGATGCCGTGCAAAGATCATGACGATAGTGCAGTCAACATGGTCTACATCGTCGTAGTGTCTGTTCGTTAAATGACTGCTAGGGATGTGACTTACCATTCGCTATGCCCCGCATTCCACAGCCGGCCACGATATGAGAAGTTCTCTAAATTCGTGCCCCTTTTGCGGCTCCGCTTGTAAGAGTGGCGTACTATGTTGGGGACCTAAACAAGGACCCTAATTTAGAGAACTACCCACATGCCAAGTGTCACACGCTGCACCCCAACCCCGCGGCCGAAACCTTGCGACCCTCCGGGCAAGCAAAAAGCATGCACGATGCGTGTCAACCAGCTCAACAGCCGGAACACTTACATCCTATGTAAGCCCGAAAGAAATTGAATTCCAACAGGCGGCCCAAATCCCGGAAACACTCCAAGAAGTGCGAGGTATCCGCCAGCCTCAGATCCCCAGGACCCAAACCATCCCAAACCCCATAACATAGGGGCCTTAATAATTGGTCCGTTATACTATAATTACAGTAAGGAAGCCCCCAAAATAGTGTTGGCAATTATCTAGGCCCCTATACTAGAGAGAGCCGTCCTTGCACTGCTTCCATGTAGGCACGTGAGCGCCGGAGGGGCCTCAAGCTTAAGGTTTGGCCTTTTCAGGGGACTTAACATGGAGGCCTGAGTGATCATTAGAGGGACTTCGGGTGTTTTGGGGTTATAACCATACAGTTTAGGGTTTAGGGTTGAGGCAACCTAGCAAACAACAGTACTAGTGATTAATTTAGGCTTCGATGTTAGAGTTTTGTGGCTCCGTCCTGGGCGCGCGCGAACCCAAATGTCAGAAAGAGCAGTGCGCTGTCGCGAAGATACTCTGTTTAGGGTTTATATAGGATTATTACGGGGCTGTATATGGATGTATAGAACGGTGAATGTAAACCTTTATAAAGCTATGCCTGTGGCTGTCCTAGGGGAGTATTCGTTATCATATGTTGCTTCTTTTGCTTCCGTGCTCGGGTCCACATTTGGAGATTGGCAGTCTAAGGCTTGAGGGACTTTCGGGCTCTGGGTTCGGTACTTCACGCATGGGGGTTTCGCCAAAGATGTCGCCAAGAGAGCCTGCTTTGGGCCCGTGTGGTCCCAGCCGAAGCCCAACAGAGACACTGTTTTGGCCGCAGCTGGCCGTTGCTAGACTCATCTTGTGGGTCGAGCCGCAAGGAAGGGCCACCAGCACACAAAGATGATGGCGTCAGCACCAGCAAGGTGCAAGCCTTCCTTTTGGGATCACTAACCCCAAACTTGGAATACAAGCCAAACACCATGTAACCTCTTCAGTTCAGGGCCCGCAAGCCCACAAAAACCTCGCAGAAACATCACCGGCCTCTTATACTGGCTTGCCTTGTTGAAGAACTGGCCAATCCTCGTCCGACTAGAACGGCAACAGCAACAAGAAGCAGAACAGAAAGAACGAAGAGGAACCACAAGAACAAGGACAACAACCACCAGGTAGCACTGGTCCCACAACACCTTCAACCTAAGATCCCACCGGTGTCTGGGTTCTTGCTAGTTTTAGATAATTTATTGTAACTGAACTTAATTTAATTTCATTTAATTTGATTTACTACGTATCTAAATTCATTTAATTTAATTTTCAAAAATTACATTAGTTCAATGTAAAATAATCTAATTGGGTAATTTAATGTAACTTAATTTAACTACTATGATGAGGAAACAGTATTAGTTACTATCGGTCCCTATTATGGTAACTTAAAACTAGCTCCCTTAACAAGAGCCCACCGGGGTTGCGGCACTTCTGCATGTTCTTACCGGCGAGGCAGTTGTCCGGATGCACGCAACCTCGGGCAGAATAATGTAGGGGCCTTAAATAATTAGAATAGGGTTTTGGGGTATATTATACTGAAACCATAATAAAGAACCCTCAAAGTAAGATAAGTATATTATACTAAAACCATAATAAGGAACCCCCAAAATAATATAGGTAACTATTAGAGCCCCGATGTTAGCGAAGAGCCGGGCTTCCAGGTCTCGGAGTTCAAGCTTGGGAGCGTTGGCTTCAGGCCCTCCAAATGCATCCTAAACCCTAAACCCCCTAAACCCTAACCCGTAAACCCCCTAGACCCTAACCCCTAAACCCCAAAACCCTAACCCTGAACCCCCTAAGCCCTAAACCCTAAGTAACCCCTAAACCCTATGGTCCATTTCGGAGCGATGACTACTCAGAGTCGCCCTCGAAAGCAGAGTGGCTAATCGTCTCGGACTCGAAGGCACCCGTCTCGCTGAGGTGAGTCCTAAGCGTTTCAGAGCTGGCTGTAAGCTCAACAAAGCTTAGGGTTTAGGAATGTAGACCCGTGATCAATTACCCCTCCATTGCAAGGGAAATAGCACGGGTCCTGAAAGGGGGCTTCTTAATCAGAGGTCTGGGACTTGAGATGTTTTCTGTCTGCAGCAGTAGCAGTCGCAGTCGCAGT